CAACCCAGCAACAACCCTAAAACACTTTAACCCTGTCAACCCACGCAACACTTTACCTCACGACCTAACACCTCCTTTCTCCTTTCTCTTTCTTCTTTCACCCCAGCCTGCATGGTTTTCTCACCAACCTGACCATCAACCAACTGTCGACCTTCACCATCGACACCGTGCACAGCAACATCCTCTTCTTCACCGTCGACGTCTCCTTAGGTCTCCCGATGCTCGACTTCGCTGGTAGCTATGACGTCGGGGGCGCCATCGACGTCCTCCCGATCTATGGCACAGGACCCTTCTGGTAATGCTGAGGTTTTGTTTGTTTGTTTGGGTGGTTGTTGTTTGTTGTTGTTGTTTTTCTTATCATTGGTGTTATTATCATAATCGTTATTATTGTTATCATTATTTCTGTTATAATATAATTATAATATCAATAGTAATAATAATAATTATTATTACCATCATCATTAACATTATTACTGTTGTTATTATAATAATCAATTTTCAATCATCATTTTCATCATTATCATAAATGTTAGCATTACCATTGTTATGAGGATGATAAGAATTATCGTTAGAAAGATTTATCACTGTACCATCATTATATTAACTAATCATTACACCGTCATCCTATAAACAAAAATCATTATACCGTCATTATGATAATGAAAATGTATTTTTTACTAGTACTATGAATATCGATGGTGTTATTTTTATTATAAACATCATAATTACTATAATGTTATAAACATCAGTAATAGCTAAATAAGGTAACGTAAAATATTTTCGTAAATTAGAGAAAATGGTAAACAGGAGAGACAGGCAGTACTCGTAATTGACTCATTGGTGATTTAGTACAAGTGTAGTCATCTTTGCGTAAAAACAATTAAACAAGTAAACTCACATGAACGTACATGCCATGTCCGTCTGGATCGGGTTAATCATCACTGTGCCATCATTATATCAACTAATTATCATTGTAACATCATTGTTTTAACTAATTATAATTGTACAGTCATTATATTAATTAAAATATAATTTTTTTGTGTGTCCCCACAGGATGGACGCTTTCGGCCTGAAGATGTCGATCGCGATCAAGCTGGGAGAAACTGAAGTCGGTTTCGGGGTTTCAAATCTGGACCTGAGCTTCGATGTGAATTCTACCGATGTAAGACAGAGAAAAAATGGATTTTGTTTTGTTTATCTTTTATCTTTTGAGTTTTTTTGTTGTTGTTTTTTCTTCGTTATTATTTGTGTTTGTGTGTGTGTATTAGGAATCTATTTTGATTGTTAAGGATTTGAATATGTATTATTTTTCTTGTTCGCAAACGATTTTAATCAACATACAGGCACATATAATCATAGACAAACATTAACACACACACACACACACACACACACACACACACACACACACACACACACACACACACACACACACACACACACACACACACACACATACACACACATTACAAGACACAAACATACACCAACCAGCAAAAACAAAAGAAAACAAAAACAAAACAAAACAAACAATACGATTCAAAAACCGACACAGACATCCCACAGCTCACCCGTCGGCCCAGACTGAACCGACGGGCGTCCTTCGCAGATCCACTTCGAGAACATCATGGGCGGAGGAGACATGGAGGACTTCGTCAACGGCGTCCTCAGTTCCCTGGGACCCGACATCCTGAAGGAGTTGGAAAAAGTCTACGTGCCGTGGCTGGAGGAGGCACTGAGGAAGGAGATTAATGATGTCCTACACGGAAGGTTAGGATGGGGGGGGGGGGTGAGGGAGGGGGGGGGTTAGGGAAGAGGGAGGGGTAAGGAGGGAGGGGTGGGGAGGGGTGTGGGTTGGGGAGGGGGTTTAGGGAGGAGGAAGGGGTGGGGAGGGGATGAGGGAGGGGGTGTGGATTGGGGAGGGGGTTTAGGGAGGAGGAAGGGGTGGGGAGGGGATGAGGGAGGGGGTGTGGATTGGGGAGGGGGTTTAGGGAAGAGGGAGGGGTAAGGGGAGGGAATGGGAAAGGGGTTTGGGTTGGGGGGGTAGGGGAAGTACTGGGAGGGATAAGGGAGGTGGGGAGAGGGAAGAGGGGAGAAGGGGTGGAGAAGAAGAGAGAGCGAGCAGAAGAGAAGAAGGAGAGAGAAAAGGGAAATGAGGGGAAATAAAAGGGAAAAGCTCGGGCATAAGAAGAAGAAGGAGGAAGAGAAGGAAGAAGGTGAGGAGGAAGAGGAAGGGAAAGAGGGGAGGAGGAAGGGGAAGGGAAGGGGAGGGTAAAAAAAAAGATGAAGAAGATCAGTGACAGCGTATTTGAAGGGACGGACAGCCTGGCGTTAATCTCTTTTCCCTTCCCAGAGGATCCCGAAAAAATAATCCCTTAATCCCACAGCCTGGACAACCTAGATTAATCCCTAACGATCCCAGTCTCACCGAAACCTTGTCCATTTTCTACCGTTTTAGCGCGGGATTTAACACCACTTTAGCACTCTAGAAATTCGATTT